AACAGAGACCAAACATCTTTCTCGTAACTCCGAGTTTCGTGTTGATAAACATTAATCAGTGTTTATCAACACGAAACTCGGAGTTAAAAGAAAGATGTTTGGTCTCTGTTGTTCTGCCTTAATTAAGTGGTCTGTAGCATAATAATATGTACTCACTGGGGGTGTCAGAAGGTAACCTAGGGTAGTACGTACGGTCAGCCACCTGAGGTGCAATTCACTTGTTGAGAGGGGGTGACTCCGCTGAAACATTTCGAAATCCAGAGTCCACGTCGGTGCTTTGATTGATTCACAGGGCACCTGTGGCAAAGAGTGGTACGGTCAATACCGTAGTGACAGTAGCGTGTCCGACGTCCCTGGCTCATGGTCAACACAGATGCATAAAACCCTGGTGGTCTGTACGCTGGGCGGTATACAAACTGTTCTAGCGTCATCCTTTAAAGTAAGATCACGGAACTCTCCTGCTAGAACCACCGATTCATCGGAGACCACTTTGAGGCTGAGAAGTTGCAAAGTTATTCAAAGTGTTGGTCAAGATTCAGTCGGATGGTTCCTGCAGCGTTTGAGAACTTTAACTTGTAATAGGCTGACGCAAACCTGCCGATAGACTTCTGTTACTTCATGCACCTACATCCTAGATCACGTCCTACCATGAGCGTGTAACATAACATGGATAGCTGTCACCGGTCGTTTTCAACTTTTCAGAACGGACCACACCATCTACAGTATCCCACCGGCCCCGAAAGTTGGTACCCCACCCGAAAGTTGGTACCCCACCCGAAAGTTGGTACCCCACCCGAAAGTTGGTACCCCACTCGAAAGTTGGTACCCCACGCGAAAGTTGGTACCCCACGCGAAAGTTGGTACCCCACGCGAAAGTTGGTACCCCACCCGAAAGTTGGTACCCCACCCGAAAGTTGGTACCCCACGCGAAAGTTGGTACCCCACGCGAAAGTTGGTACCCCACGCGAAAGTTGGTACCCCACTCGAAAGTTGGTACCCCACGCGAAAGTTGGTACCCCACGCGAAAGTTGGTACCCCACGCGAAAGTTGGTACCCCACCCGAAAGTTGGTACCCCACCCGAAAGTTGGTACCCCACGCGAAAGTTGGTACCCCACCCGAAAGTTGGTACCCCACCCGAAAGTTGGTACCCCACCCGAAAGTTGGTACCCCACGCGAAAGTTGGTACCCCACGCGAAAGTTGGTACCCCACGCGAAAGTTGGTACCCCACGCGAAAGTTGGTACCCCACCCGAAAGTTGGTGCCCCACCCGAAAGTTGGTACCCCACCCGAAAGTTGGTACCCCACCCGAAAGTTGGTACCCCACGCGAAAGTTGGTACCCCACGCGAAAGTTGGTACCCCACGCGAAAGTTGGTACCCCACGCGAAAGTTGGTACCCCACGCGAAAGTTGGTACCCCACGCGAAAGTTGGTACCCCACCCGAAAGTTGGTACCCCACCCGAAAGTTGGTACCCCACCCGAAAGTTGGTACCGTAAAGTATCGCCAGAGCGCCCCACCATCTCATCGTTTTGTGGTCGTATTGTGGAGATGGTCTGCTGTCAGTAGGTCATACGACATGAACCTTGGACACATATTGCACGTTTTTGCAGTCAATCCGTACCTTCGAGAGGACAAAAGCTCCACACAAAAACCTGCCAAGTGTGACCTTAGTACACTAAGATTCTCACATCGTACACACTTCGGTGCACTCTGCCACACGATTTTACTTTCTCTGGCTGTAAAATCAAGGTGGGACGCTCTCGCGAGACGGGGCGCTCTGGTGGTACTTTACGGTACTCCACCCGAAAGTTGGTACCCCACCCGAAAGCTAGTACCCGCCCAAAAGTTAGCACCCGTCCGAAAGTTAGTACCCGTCCAAAAGTTGTTTACCCCCCCCCCCACACACACACACAAAGTTAGTACCCCTACCGAAAGTTAGTACGGGTGTGACCACTTAAATCGAAAAGGATATTTTGTACGTACTTGTTTACAGACTTATACTGTACATACTTATACTGTACATAGCTGAGATGAGCATTGCTGTGTGTGTTGTACAGGCGCGCTGACCAATCCCACAAGCACGGTTGACGCACAGAAAGAGGAGAGCGATGTGAACCGCAGTGTGTCGGAAAGAAGACGACGAAGAAGCTCAGCTTTGCCCATGCTGGCCATGCAACAGATGTCCCCAGGCAAGTTGTGTTTTAAAACGTTATGTCATGTTATCTTTATCACTTCAGCATAGGTACAGGCATTGCTGCCTTCTTGCTGGGGATGTTGTTGTTGACTTTTATCTTACTTCACCAATGGCGCAGGCATGATTGCCTTCTCACCGTCCCATAGGTCCGGTTCTCACAAAAAGATGAAGGAAAATTAATAAATTATATGAGGAAATGTATAGAAATAAAGACATGCAAGCGGCATAATTATTATTATTATTATTGAGATGTTTGTTATGTGTGTGCTGAGACTGCTGACCCATGTCACAGTGGACCATGAATGATGTAACAGCTTCTAAGCTATGGTGCAACATTGAATTTTCCACCATAGCTTTGAAGTAGGAGCTGTGGTGTCATCAAGAGTAGGTAACCAAGACTTGAGTGTGCAAGTCGATGATCACCCGGTCCATGGCGGAATTGTTTTATGACATCCGTCTTTGTCGGCTGTTTGGCTCTCTGATGCCATCATGCGTAGTCGGGGATCATGCGTAGTCATCATGCGTAGTCATCATGCGTAGTCGGGGATCAAAGTACAAGGGATTTATACATCGCGCCATCGGCTGTCAAAGCAGAACAACGGACGATAGATCGATGTGTCCTGAACCTGATGAACTCTCAACGTATCTACAAAGCAAGCGTGTGAGAGCATACATGCTTTGCCATAGTTCTCTCAAAGAATGACGCAATAGAATAAAACAACTCCGTAGTGGGTGAACCTATCACAGCTGGAGATAGGACGGTTGCACACTCTTGGTTATGTACTCTTAGTTATGTACTCTTGGTTATGTACTCTTGCTATCATTCATGATCCACAGCAGTGCTGTCGCTTCATGTGAGGTGAGTTTTCTCTGGCAGGTTTATCAGTGAAATCTGATACTAGTCAATATGTTAGTTTATACTGGTAGTCTCTACATGTTATCGATTTTGACAGCATGTTACAAGGTGAGGACGCATAGTGCTCCTGACTACAACCATAACCCGGTGGGCAGAGTCCCGGCAAATGGTCGCAAGACTGGGACTCTGCCAACAACCGGGTTATGGTTGTAGTCAGGAGCACTATGCGTCCTCGCCTTGTAACGCGCTGTCGAAATCGAAAACATGCTAAACTATCAAGCAAGGCTTCTACTCAATCTGCGAACAGAACTGTTTCGTCCTCTGTGGATTCGTCAGCGCAGCACAGAGGAAATGAGGCCGAACCTGGTAGCAATGAAAAATAAATTTTCCAAAGCCAGATTTAAACCAGGCCCAAACGTACCTGGCCAGAGTGCTCAAACTGACAAGTCAGAGAGCTCTGCATCGCGCAAACAGCAAAGGCACTGCCCCACTACCCCACAAAGCAAGGCTTCTATATTAGTATACGGTCTCCACAAGCAATGCAGTGCTGTGAACTGGCTATACGATAGTGTTGCACATGCTGTTTTGTCCTGCTCTTGTTGACGAAATCACTTTTCTACAGCTTCTCACCGGATGTCGCAGAGGTTCGAGCTGGAAGTGCGTACGTCCTGGGAAGACACGCGGAGAAAAAGCTCAGCCCTCGCAATGCTCTCCACGGCTCGGCTTAGCTCAGGTAGGTGTTGAAGTTTAATTGTGACCGATTCTGCATGTACCCCTAGGACATATGACGGTGCAAACACGCACCACGCTGTCTGATATTATGATTTAGCTGTGTTCACACTGTGCATCTACTGCTTACACAGCTGCATAAGGGCCGGGTTCCACTGCGGCTCCGCTGCTCGTCTTTCGCGGCTTGAAACGTCATCATTACCATAGTGACCGCGGCTCGAGCTGGAGCAGCGAGACCGCGGCTCACCGCGAGCTTTTGCTACGATTCTTGACCAAAAACTGCGAGCCGCGTGATGCGTCTAGCACATCTCAATTCTAAAATCCACCGGGAGTCCACAGGAAAACTACTCAGACTACACTGCTATTATTCATTGCAAAAGAACACCGAAAGGCCAAACCGCATGGTGAAGACTAATGTCTAGACTACTGAAAGATTCTCTGAATCCTTGTGACGGAAGCACATCCTCACACTCTGACAACGCATACTCTTGCATGCACCACATACAGTCTACTCGCGATAAGTCACGCACTTTTAAGTCACGCACTCGCGATAAGTCATGCACTTTTTCATCTAGGACACCCATCTCAAGAATTTTTTTATTTTTCGGGATTTTGTGGATTTCGTGGATTTCGTGAATATTTGCGAATGATGTGGTTTTCAATGATGGAGCTTGAATACTGTAAAGGTAAGAATATAATTATTATGTGCATATTGCATGAGAGCCTTCTCCCTCAGGATCACACACGACAATCCAAGTTTGTCAGTCACAAACTTCTCCCTTCGAAGCAAAATATACTTCACTAGCCGCTACTCAATTTTCCCGAACTGGGAACTTCTGTTGCGGACTCCCTGTGGACCAGACGGATTAGCATCGGCAAGTTTGCCAGCTTCAGCATCCCTCAGCCAGCCGCGGAACATCGCCTCCGGAACATTGTTCAACTTCGCAAATTTTTGAGCGGAGGTTTTTCCACTCTCACGATAGAGACGAACCAAACGCAGTCGATCAGCCACTGTTCGCTGTTCTTTCGTTTTCTTATGAGAAGGCATCGTCAAGCAAAGGGAAACGAAGTGTTTACACGACGGAAACAGAAGTGCGTCTTGTCAAATCCCTACCAAAACGGCAAAAGTAACGGAACGCCGTTACTTGTCTTTCTCGATCATGCCTTCATATCGATCATGGCTTCACGCTGTGGTAGATCTACGTCTCGTGTACAGCAGCAGTGTACAGTCAGTGTAGACTACAGACAGTACAGTGTACCGTGCGCATGCAGCTCAGTGCTTGTACGCGTGTTCAGCACACATGTCCATATGCAGAAGAAAAAAATGACGGCTGTACATATGCATGACGTGGTGCATAATGTAAGTCGCGCACTCGCGGTAAGTCGCGCATTTTCTATTCCAGGACACTGTGCGTGACTTATCGCGAGTAGACTGTACCATAAACGTCACACATCACACCATACTCGCGCGTACACCTAGACCATATATGGCACCAGACACTGGACTCCACCAGACAAGAGCCAAATACAACGACATGCGTAAAGTAATACGAGACGAAATCCGTAACACTTGTGCCATTATAGAAAGAGAAAATACAGAATGTGTAGTGCGCCAAAGTTAGCGTATGTACAAACATGCAATAATTACAACGCGCAATAAAAGGAGTACAAATATCCGGCAAAGGACACGAGTGGTGTACGGTATGAGATGCTGTGTGCTATGAGATGCTGTAATAAACGAGAGAGCTTGGAAGCTCAGGGCCCTACGCTATGCTTTTTTGCCTTGATGACCTAGACAAAAAAAGCATAGGGATGTTATAAATTCTTTAAAAAAATCTTTTTTTTAAGGGATAACCTGGGATTCGAACCCGCACTATCGCGCGCCCTGCATGCCCCCCCCCCCCCCCCCCCGATACACTTCGCATACATACTAATTCTTCCAAGTTGTTTCACATTGTGATCTTGCATTTGAAAGCCCTATTTGAATATGCATTGTGGCCAGCCGTCTTTGATGGCACGGTACGGTAGGGGATATGCCTGAAAAAAATAGGAGAATTGAAAAATTTATAACATCCTATGCTTTTTTGCCGTCAGATACGGATAGCGCCAGGCGTGACACAAACACACAAACAAATACCAAATTAAAGCTGTGTGGACCCTGGCTAGCGCCAGACGTTACTGACGTTACTGAAGTAACGTCTTCTGCATAGCTACGGGAATAAATAAATAATAAATAAATAAAGGAAGACACGTGCATGCATGAGTACCCTAGCAAAAGTGGACAAACCTAGCGTAGATCCACGTGGTACTAATCGAGTACCGTACACTACATATTTATGCAAAGAAATATCAAATAACATAATTATTATAAAAGAATGCAAATAATTTAATTTCACAACACATGGAAAATCTCCGTAAAACAAATCGTTAAAACCGGAGGCTTATCGCAGATCACTACACGCGGTCACGGCTCGACCTGTTTCCCGTACTTTGCATTGTTTTGTACGCCAGAATTCAAATTTTAATTCGTTGCGCAGGCCAGAACACGCTGCTCGTCTTTCGCGGCTTGAAACGTCATCATTACCATAGTGACCGCGGCTCGAGCTGGAGCAGCGAGACCGCGGCTCACCGCGAGCTTTTGCTACGATTCTTGACCAAAAACTGCGAGCCGCGTGATGCGTCTAGCACATCTCAATTCTAAAATCCACCGGGAGTCCACAGGAAAACTACTCAGACTACACTGCTATTATTCATTGCAAAAGAACACCGAAAGGCCAAACCGCATGGTGAAGACTAATGTCTAGACTACTGAAAGATTCTCTGAATCCTTGTGACGGAAGCACATCCTCACACTCTGACAACGCATACTCTTGCATGCACCACATACAGTCTACTCGCGATAAGTCACGCACTTTTAAGTCACGCACTCGCGATAAGTCATGCACTTTTTCATCTAGGACACCCATCTCAAGAATTTTTTTATTTTTCGGGATTTTGTGGATTTCGTGGATTTCGTGAATATTTGCGAATGATGTGGTTTTCAATGATGGAGCTTGAATACTGTAAAGGTAAGAATATAATTATTATGTGCATATTGCATGAGAGCCTTCTCCCTCAGGATCACACACGACAATCCAAGTTTGTCAGTCACAAACTTCTCCCTTCGAAGCAAAATATACTTCACTAGCCGCTACTCAATTTTCCCGAACTGGGAACTTCTGTTGCGGACTCCCTGTGGACCAGACGGATTAGCATCGGCAAGTTTGCCAGCTTCAGCATCCCTCAGCCAGCCGCGGAACATCGCCTCCGGAACATTGTTCAACTTCGCAAATTTTTGAGCGGAGGTTTTTCCACTCTCACGATAGAGACGAACCAAACGCAGTCGATCAGCCACTGTTCGCTGTTCTTTCGTTTTCTTATGAGAAGGCATCGTCAAGCAAAGGGAAACGAAGTGTTTACACGACGGAAACAGAAGTGCGTCTTGTCAAATCCCTACCAAAACGGCAAAAGTAACGGAACGCCGTTACTTGTCTTTCTCGATCATGCCTTCATATCGATCATGGCTTCACGCTGTGGTAGATCTACGTCTCGTGTACAGCAGCAGTGTACAGTCAGTGTAGACTACAGACAGTACAGTGTACCGTGCGCATGCAGCTCAGTGCTTGTACGCGTGTTCAGCACACATGTCCATATGCAGAAGAAAAAAATGACGGCTGTACAT